AAGGCTGTGGGTGTATGGAGGAGGGAGAGCAACGGTGAGCTCTCTGACAAACAGCAGGACGTCAACGGGCGGTACGGAGTAAGGTACGGAGTACCTTAGCAAATGAACTTCGAACTGGAGAAACGGTACGTAGTGTAGTGGTGACCTGGTTGTTTTTTGCGGGGTAATCGAGTAAAGAGGTTAGGTACCTTGAGGTAAGGTAGCGACTGCTCACTACCTACTGTGGTACGGTACCCCAGCTCCAGGGACGGTGCAAGTGCAGTTTGGTCCAAATAGCTCGTGTCGAAGTGCCCCATTCAAGTGTGTTCCGAATGCAATGTAAAGGAGCAGGCAGCAGCGACAAAAGTAACAAAATTAGAATATTCCCCAAAAATGACAATGGCGATCGTGCCGACCTGGTGCGCAGATGATTGGTAGATGCCAGCCAGATACGGCAGTCGGTCGATCACTGGGATTAAGGGACAAAGTCTTGGCGATAAACTGTCCGTAAATGGAGCTCTATCCAAGGTATCCGTACTCCGTACACATGTATCTGTACGAAGTATGGGTGGTCCATCAAATTGATCAGGGACTGTGTTCTCTATTCTTTTGCGAATGAAGAGAAGCAAGTGATTGTGACAGGGCCAAGAAGCAGATTGCAGATAGCTGTGAGATTTGCTTTCGAGTCCACCGAGACTAGAAACCTTTAGCCTCTCACTCTAACCAAGCATCTCGTTATCTAGACAGTCCACATGGGGAAAGCTAAGGGTAGTCGGTCTCTCATCTTCATATGTATGCCGTATCCGTACCAATTTGCTCATAGAAGCGGCACCCGCACCCTGCGCTCCGTTCGCCCCCTGGGCCCGCTGGTGCACTGATTCGTTTGATGACCGAGCTTGAAAAGGGTTGATTGATGGAGAGCATATGCTGATGTGCCAGCAGCGCAGCATTGGGATTGGACCAGCTTGTTCGGGATTCCTACATCAGCAAGGGCCAGGGACAGGCCGCCAGCATCGTGGCCGGGACTCGGAGCAGAACCCAAATCGAAACCGCTCAGCAGCCTGCAGACGGGCTGCAAGCAAGGCATACGCCGCATACCACAGGAGGACAGCTACCACATCACACCTGAGCCGCGAGCTAAGGTGGGAGGTGTGCTCGGTAAGGCCAACACCGGTACGTACCCACAGTGCCAGATACAGGGGTCGGTAGTTGGCCGAGGGTCTGTTCCTAGAGGGGACGGGAAACTTGGGATGTTGAGGTGTGTTGTGCTTGCGGCGGGCTTGCTGTAGGCGATGCTCTGCAGGCTGTGGTTTTACACGATCCGTGGCTCCTTGGCCAGCCCATCTTACGTGGACAGGTTCTGTAGTCGCTGGTGCTCGAAATCGATGCCGTTGACCTCGAGTCATCCAAGCTTGGTTTCCGCTCAAGAGATGGGCTTGATCTTGACTGGCCTGCGTTGGCGGGCCTCAAATTGCAAATGATCCCTGCATGGCAGTCTCAGATTCAGCTCGAGTTTCCAGTGTATGATTGTATAGGCGACAGCCCTGATTTGACAAAAATGTCTGGCGTCCAAAGGCTATGCCGTCGGGGCAATTCTGGACTCTCTGTTTCTACCGTATAACTGAGAGGGAATAAAAGATGGGGTGCAATGGCCAGGTTCGGGCCCAAGGTTCAAGCTGGGATTAGTAGGGCCGGAGCAAGGTCAGGGTCCTGGAGGAATATGATTGAGTGTGGGATCGCGTCCTTGAGCGCTCGGTCCTGGGCCTGTCAGGTTATGGATTATGAGCTCGACGGATACCATGGCGGGACGATTGCGAAGAATAGCGAGCAGAAGAAAGAGAGAGAGAAAAGGTTAGGTTGAAAGTGTCAGAGCAAAAGTGCCATGTGAGTCGAGAGTCATGAGGGTATCCATAACGAGGCCCAGCGACATTGGACGATTTGGTGGACGTTGGATTGCCCGCGTCTGTGCCAGGAACGCCTGCTCGAGACACTCCATGACTGTGCAGCTTGCAAGCCGCAAGCCGGTCGCCTGGCTCCCAAGAAGTGGGCGCTGTTGCTATTATCGCGTCACTCTTTGGTGGGCCGAGTTGTAACTTGTGAGCACCGAGAAGATGTAGATAGGTATTCGCAGCGTTGCGGTCGGGTCGGGTGGCCCCTGCGCAGGTACTCTGATGTGTGTACCTATCCGTACAAAGTCTCGATAGCTTTTAGCCTGGACTGACTGAGATGACGATTCCGATACATCAGACACGAGACAGGTAAAGGATATGAGCTGGTGACAATGAAGCAGACGGGTCGGACCCCAAAGATGAGTGGCTTTCTCTGGCACATTGGTGCTAGCCATACATTGGGACGAGGACGGGGCGGCTGCCCATGGTCTGTGTCTACCTGTGTCTGTGTCTGTGTCTGTTGGCACTTAGTAGGTAAGTTTCCCGCCATTCTATCCGCAAGGTATTCGTACCTTATTACCATGTGGGATGAGATGAGGTGAGGTAAGGTGAGGTGAAGTGCAGGTGAAGATACGTACCTTGGCGACTTTTGGCGACACCCGACTGGGAAAGTGTAGGTGAGGTGGTTTGCACCGGCTGCCACCTTCTTCCCCGTCTTGTCTCGTCCTGGGAAGTGGCCGGGGGTGTGTTGTTGACTGAGGCGAGGTAAGGTAGGAAGGTGTTGTGTGTGGGTGTGCCTTCCCTCTTGTTCCTCGCTCGCACTGTGACTTGTCTGTACAGTGCGCCCCATATTAATCTCGACTTCTTGTCTCCTAGTGGCCAGCACATGCATTGAATGGTCTTTCCTCTCTCTCTTTCTTGCACGAAATCTTGAGGAAATAACGAGGACGGGCGAACCGCAAGAGGGCGCGCGCGCGAGGGGAAAGAAACCTAAGGTAACGTGGCCCGTTTCCTTGATTTTTGTCAGGCCAATGCCAATCCGTTCACTCCTGGGGGCGTGTGTTTGTAAGTTCCATTGGATTGCAAAAGAGAGAGCGAGAGAGGAAAAAAAAGGGGGGGACCCAACCAAGTGACTGCGGTGTCTGCTTATGGTGAGTCGGCGACCGACCGAGGGCGTCCTGGGCCAGTTTTGCAAGCAAAAAAACCGCGAGAAAAACGCTGGCAATTGGCAGTATCTAGATCTGTTTGATATCCATAAGAGGCTCTCTGATATTCGATGCATGTTGTCAAGACAAGCGCAAGCGCGAAGGGGCGGGGTGGAAGTCTTGGCAAACGAAGGAAATCGAGCGTGCCAAGACTTTTGAGACCCAGGAAGCTCTTGCCTGCTGTCCCGATTCCCTGATGTGCCGCCCCTTCCATGCGCCGTCTGTACCGTCTGTACTCCGTACCTACTGCCCCCCGCTCTTGGGCTGACGCGTTTTGGTGGGAGTGGGAGTGGGCGACCTTTTTTTTTTTTTTTTTCCAGTCTTCGAGCTGGGCACACTGAGCACCTTCCACGCCCGCACCTCACCCGCGGACCACCTCCCTTCCAGCCCGGTCAGCCCAGCGGTGTCGAGGTGTGGAACCGTGAGGTGGTTCCTCTCTCTCCTCCACACCACTCACCATTCACCACCCACCCCCAGCCCAAGCACACCCCAGGGACTCTGCTGGTCTCCCACCGTGGACCAAAGTCCACGCCAATCTGAGAGCACCTAACCCGCCAAAACAGAAAATTTGTCGTCAAAATACACCACAGACACGTCCCCAATGACGGATGCCAAGACTTCAGAACCTCATCGTTCCCTCAGCCCTGGGCCCTGTTCCTCTGTAGGGCGGTCCATTTCAACGACGTCCCGTCCGCCATGTGACGGCAATCCACAAACGAAGCCCTTTTCGAATATTCCATGCGTTTTCCATCCCACCGGTCTGCAGTCACTTCGGCCTTATGGGGAGAGGGGGGGGGGCCTCAGGCTGGAATGAATCTCGCGATGCCACCAAGTACAAGGCGTGCAAAGTACGGAGCTCCCGCAAGAAAAGCCAAGAGTCTCCGGGAGCGCCAGGGAGAGCGAGGGGAGGGGGGAGGGGAATCAACCCCCAAAAATCGCTGGCGATAAACCCTCGGTGTTCCAAGAGGGGCGTGAGCCATGTGCCCACACAAACACAAACCAGACCAGTTGCTTCATGACACTCGTCCAAAGAGCCGTCGGTCAAGACCGTTTACTCGCCTTCGCCGCCATCGTTGTTGTTGTCGTCGTCGTCTCCTCTTGGCCCTTGGCAAGCCCCTCCAACGCTCAAGAGTCCCAGCAACGTGCTCGCTTTCTTTCTGCCGCCCCCTGCTTCGCTTGTACATTACACGCCTCGACGGCGGTGGCCTACGTTGTGTCGTACACACACATACACACACACATATCGCGGAATCGCTCTGATCTCTCCACCACCGCGATGCAGACACAAACGAGGCATTGGACCCTCGATCCCGACCTCGGGAAGATTGCGGCGTGCTGTTCGGGTTACGAGTGGGGACCGAGGGAGGGGCACTAGTCGCAGATGAAAAGGCAATCGCAGATTGATACTGTCGTCGAACCATCAGAGGACATGACTGGGCCACTTGCCCAAAATGACTGAGCTCCGTAACCATACCTACCGCCGCCATTCTCATGCGATGGTATGGGATGGACTAAAGGCTGGAAGGCTCGCGGGTGACGGGGCGGCGGGCTCGTTAGCAGATCCACGGACGGTTTGAGCCAGCAGGCTTTGCCCCGACATGTTGGAAACCGAACCTGCGTGCCAGCGCCTGCTTGGAAGCGTCCTCCGCCAACTCGCGGGACCGACTGTTTCGATGAGCCTTAGCACTGACAAACTCCCAGGTGTAGGGGTTGGCGGTTGTTGACAACTCGGGCTCTCAAGCTTCTTTTTTCCCTTCCCTTTGCGCGCTGGATTGATCATTGGACTGGACTAGATGCAGCTATGTCCGCAGTGCATAAGGGGGGTCCTCCCCGTCGAAGCTCAAACTGGGGTCTCCTGGGAAGCGCCTCCGAACCAATAGCATCCCGCGTGTTCCGTCAACTGAGAACCTGGGCCTGGCGTGTGAGTTCAATAAGTCAGCGTTGACTGAGATGAGAGCCTGACTTTAATTTCACCCCCGTTCCAGCTACTGACCCTCGTGGGAGGGGGGGGGAAAGAAGACAGGCAATTGAAGTATTGAAACCTCCACGTCTTCAAGCAGCTACGAAGACTTGGCCTACGCTGTCGGGTCACAACGGGCACGAACGGGCACGACGGCCACGTACCGGCGGCAGGTGGTGGACCGTCAGACTTGGAGGCTGGAAGCGATGGATCTACCGGACGAGGCCGGGCGGGATGATTCATTCCGTGGCGGTCTGCAATTGCGGTACGGGACCGAATGGCACGGAAATCCAAGCCAACGGTTGGTCTTGGGCAAGATTTTGAAGACAACGAAAATACACAAAGGGTAAAAAGGCATACGTACCCCCGGTTCCACCCTGCATCCAAACGCATGCACGAACGCCGCTGGCGCCGCATAGGTTTTTTTTAATTTATTTTTTACCTTCTCTCTCTGCAAGATATTCCATCCCCCCTCTTCAACATACCAAGACTCCAACACCAACTACGCAAAGCATGCATGGCCTTGCGAGTTGCAACTGACTGACATATAGATTCTATGCAGTAGCACCATCGGTTCGACCAAGTGGAAACTGGCCCATTCTCACGTCCCTCTCATCGGTTCCAGACGCATCTCCATTTGAGCAAAAAACTGGGCTGCATTCCTTTCCCGAAGGAACTCCGCCCTTTTCCCTTTTCAATTCCTTTTTTGAGCAAATCAACCGGGGCCGGGTAGGGACTCGACTCGCTCGCTCGCCCCGTATACGCAGTACTATCACTCTCTTCCTATCTACCGCACATATTCTGATTACTCGCCGACTGGAGACAGTTGCGCGTGCTCGGTGCTCACATAGTGGTCTTCGCGCGTGGTATCCGTACAGACCATAGAATATCCTCAGAGATATGTCGCCATCATCAATGACATGCTTTGCCCACCGCAACCCTCTATTCACAACACAATCAGAAGCCCAGCACCTAGTCCCGTTCGGAGTCTCTTGCAAAAGAACCCTTCCCATTCTGATTACAGATGGCACGCACCGGATACCACATACTAGTGGCCCGGCGTCTTTTAACTCAAGATTGCCTAGCCCGAGTTGCTTAAGATAGAAGCCCCAGCGAACTCGGATCTCGTCATTGGGCTGTCCACTAGAACGGGCGCTTTTAACACGGGAACAAGCGTGGCCCTTGGAACGCGGCGCTCAAGTCACCACCAATCCCGACAGAAGCGAGAGCCGAGAATCGAGACTGGGAGTTAGTTACTGCCCAGTTGTTCAGACCATTGATTTTCACTGCCTCGACTGCCCATTGAATGAGCAAGTGCTACCTATCAGGACAGGATGCCCTCCTGAAGAGGCCAAAGTCAAAATGTCGCTGTCGCTGTCGCATGCAGGCAAGGCAGCCGCCAATCTCACAACCCTGAGCTCTTCTTCGTCCGTTTTTGTTTCGTCTTGGCTTTCTGCACACATTTGCTGCAGCATCCTCGTTCCTCCCACTCCTCCCAGCGGAAAGGTACATGCGGACGAAGAGCAACCACAGCACCTCTTACACGCTCTGTCGTCCAAGGTATCCGTAGTCAACTACTCATATCCTAATTGCGTACTAAGATGGGTAGATAGGCAATGGATTCCATTCAGTAGAAGGTACCTTCCGCGGAGTTGCTCTACCCATACAGCAACTCTCACTGCCTGTCACAGATGGTAGACCCAAGAGTGACTGCCGTCCATCTTCTGCCATCATACTGCACCTCCCATGATCCATCTCCCCTGCCAATACGCCCCCCCCCCTCCCGGTCCCCCGTCGGCGGGCCCTTTCTTGGTGCAGTTCTCAGTCTCTCCAAGTCTTGTCCCTCTGATGCTTCCGCCCACCCCCCAAGGGTACCAAGCCATCCCAAGCCATGCTGTTGCGAACTTTGTGTTGTTGCTGCTGCTGCAGTTGTGCTGCTCTCTCTCTCTCTCTCTCTCTCTCTCTCTCTCTCTCTCTCTTGTTGTTCTGCTCGCCTTACCTTAATCCATCTTGGCTTATTGGCCTGCCTACTTGGTTTGCCTTATGATCGCCCCTGTTCATCGTCCATGTACAGAGTACTTCCCACGGATAGTGTACATGCCTCTCTCTTGAGTCTTCCTTTCCCCCTCCTCTTCCCCCTCGGCCTCCACCACCACCACCTCATCCTCGTACCGATTCCTATCGCCTTTTCGTCTTAGCTTCCCCATCCCCCTTTGCGACGGTTTCGTATTGTCTCCGTTCCCTCTCTTGTTGACCCTATCCGCGACTTCACTTGGGTGACCTAGAGACACCCCCTCCTCTACCATGAAGAAGAAGAAGAAGCACCATCAACCATCCACCATCCACCACCCATCCAGCACCATCGTCACAACCAGGGGCCTACCCGCCTGCCCGCCAGATCGTGGTCCACGTCCTGCGTCCTGCCCCGTGTGTGGAATACGTATCTTTCGACCGCGCTACTGGGACTTGGGACTGCGGGACTACCTTACACCGTGCGGGACCATATTCTCCATACCCTCGAGTCGTGTACTCTGCTGTCTCAACCAACCCCGGCCGAGACGCTACCTACCCGCTACGTAATCCATCCTATTCCTCGCGCTCAGCTTTCCGCGCGACTTACACACCTGCCCTGGCCTCTCACACACCTTCTTCCTCTTTCTCTGTCTGCGGCCCTGCACCGCTGCTGCACCGCTGCTTCGTACCGCACCCTGCTCGGCCTTAAACAAGGGCCCTTCCACCCCCCCAGCTGCGGCCTGCCCAGACGAGCCCAGCAAAGAGGCAAAAGATCCCCCGGCTCCTCTCTGGTCTTCCCGTTTTTGTTTAAACTTATCTTCCTTCCATCCCCCGCGAAGTCTTGGCACACGTTTCGTTCTTCTCATGTTCAAGACTTGATCAGTCCGAAAGCCGTTCCTAGCGATTGGGTTGGCTTATCGGACCACGACCCTTGTACTATCAAATATGCAAAGAGCTCGTCCTCCATAACTGCACTTACACCGAGAACCGGGTGCTCACCACCACCACAACCACAACCAACACCAACATCTACCTTACAGCAACTATTGTCAGCTTCCTGAAGCTTACCCCAGGACAGCTCCAACGGGCGACCTGTTTTGTCGACTGCCAAAATGAGCCCTCCATCTCAGCCTGCCAAGGCCGCAACCAACAACAACAGCAACAACTCACCTCCAGACTCCCACGCCTCTGGCAACATGTCAGACAACGAGTCCGCAGCCCCTTCTGCCAATGGCTGGCCAGTCAAGGAGCCGCCTTCTCCAAGTGGAAGTGCCCATTCTGGCTCAGACATGGACGAAAAGCCCGGCGAAGCTGGATCCAACGCCCCTGTGCAGAAGCGTCGCCGTGTCACCAGAGCGTGCGACGAGTGCAGGCGCAAGAAAATCAAGTGCGATGGCAAGCAGCCTTGCACCCATTGCTCAGTCTATAGCTACGGTGAGCCTCCTTCCTCGATGCTGTTGTCTCGGTGCAAAAGACTAATTTCCGCAGAATGCACTTATGACAAGCCCTCCAATCGGCGGAGGAACCCTGCGCCCCAGTACATTGAGGCGTTGGAGAGCCGCCTGCAGCGCGCAGAGACTCTTTTGCGCAAGTTTATTCCAGACGTCGACTTGGCTGATCCGACGCTGGATCCGGCCGTCCAGCAAGAGTTCCGCAACAGAGAGCACAGCAGGATCCAGAGTGCCAAGCTCAGGCACGACCCCTTTGTAGCTCCCGAGAAGGAGGATCCCCAGCTTCTGTCCATGATCGAGTCCATTGGCCAGCTGGACCTCGACGACAAGGGCGGCTGGGACTTTCACGGCGTCTCGTCCGGTGCCGTCTTCTTGCGGCGCATGAAGGAGCACTTTCGAGGCATGATGGGCCCCGTCACAAAGGTGCCCTTCCTCCCACGGCCAGACAGACCCGCGGGCCTCATCAACCTGGACTCGCCAGCATCCGCAGCCAGCTCCCCGTTCGACTCGACAATGTCCACCGCTCCGGAGCTCCCCCCGAAAGACGTGGCCAAGAGCCTCTGCTACCTGTCGCTCAACTGCGCGACGTGTCTGATCCGCATCGTCCACGTACCGACCTTTTACCAAATGTTTGACCGAATCTACGAGAAGCCATACGACGACTACACCAAGGAAGAACACAAGTTCCTGGGCCTCCTTTACGCCGTCATGGCCTTGGGCTGCATGTACAGGAACTTGGACGAGAATGCGCCCCCCGTGGCCTACAAGGAGTCCGTCGACGAAGGGTATGAACCCCGGAAGCCTGTCCCGGACCGTACTAACATGCCGCAGAATGAAGTATTACGATACCGCGAGGCGCATCTTGCAGGACATTACAGAGTGCCGAGACCTGACCTCGCTGCAAGCCCTGCTCTTTATGATTCTTTTCCTGCAAGCCACCTCGAACCTGAGCGGCTGCTACGCGTTTGTTGGAATCGCCCTTCGGTCGGCCCTGCGCATAGGTCTGCACAGGTACTTGAAGCACGAGAAGATTTCCATCATTGAGCAGGAGGTGCGGAAGCGAGTATTCTGGGTTATTCGGCAAATGGATATCTACGTCTCGGCCATGCTCGGGTTCCCGCTGATGCTCAACGCCGACGACATTGACCAGCCGTACCCCAGCGAGATTGACGACGAGTACATAACAAACGACGGCATCCTGACGCCACCGCCGGGCACCTTCTCCTTTTTTGAGGCTTTCAACGCCCACACCCGCCTGATGGAGATCTTGGCCAAGATCCTCAAGTTTGTCTACCCCTTGAAGGGGCTCGGCCAGAGTGTAATGAAGGGCGACAAGCCGGGAGCGACGTACCTCATCAGCTACGCCAACATTAAGAGGATCGAGGCCGAGTTGCAAGAGTGGTACGAGGTCCTGCCTGCGCAGTGGAGGCCGAGACCAGACGGCCCCGTGGAGGTTATTCGGTGCGTTTCTTGACACCACATTACAGTTGATCCAGGCTAACATATGTCTAGGGTGCGCCATTTGCTGCGGTTTGCCTACGCACACGTCCAACTGGTCCTCTACCGCCCGTTTCTGCACTACGTCTCCCCTCGCCTCAGTATGGGCAAGAACATTGACGAGCTCTCGTACGCCTGCGCCGCAGCCTGCATCAGCGTGTCGCGCAACATTGTGCACATTGGCATTGAGATCCGCAAGCAAAACGTGCTGGCCGGTCCGTACTGGTTTATGCTGTTTACCGAATTCTTTGCCATCCTCTCCCTCGTCTTTTACTCGATTGAGAACCCAGAAAAGATTGGATCGGCAGAGGTATTGGAAGATGCCATTGCAGGCAGAGACATGGTCTCGAAGCTGCAATCCAAGAGCCAGGCGGCCGACAGGGTCACAGAGGCCCTCAACGTAAGTCTCTCTTCAAGGTCCTAGCTGGCGAGTATACTAACTGGGGTAGGTTTTGT